TTTCCTGAGACCTACTGTGTGCCCCGCAGGCAGTTTTCTAAGGTGTGTTATCCTTCAAGGTGGGCAGGCTGTGCCCACTTTATGGATGAGGAAATTGAGGCTCAGAGCTGCCAGGCTTGTCCGAGCCTGAGTGGGAGTGCCACCTGCCCTGATGGGCCCAGATGGCAGGTGATGGGGCTGGGCCAGGTGGCTCTCAGGCTGGAGCAGTGATCTACCCCCCCGGAACCAGGCCTCTGACGTAGGCTGGGCTCCATCTGTTTACTCTGGGGAACCATTCCCAATTGTGGATGGAGGAGTTTAAGCCAAAGAATAATAAGAATAAACTCCTGACTGTGAGGTTCGAGATCCTGGAGTCTCCTTTTTGGGAGGGTTTCCACCTGCCTGCCGAGGTGAGGTATGGTCCAGCTCGGAGGCCAGGGGCTGGAAAGATGTCTGTGAGGGGTGAGAGGGGCTGGGGAACCTTCCAGCCTTGGCCAAGTGAGCTGCGGGTTGATATCAGTTGATCCTGATTCGATATTTGGTCAACCCTGGAGAGAGGCATTTGTTCATTCGTTCATTCCTTCAATGAGTACTGGACACCTGCTATGTGTTAGGAGCTGTGCGAAGTCGAGGGGACATAGCAGGGAACAAAACAGACCTGAGGCCCTGCCCCATGGGGCTGACCTTCTGGCTGGGGAGGGAGCAGCAAGGGTTGGGAGGTACTTTAGATGGGCAATCAGGGGAGGCTACTCAGAGGAGGTGTCGTTTCAGCAGCAATCCCAACGAGAGGAGTTGGCCAGGCCAAGACTGAGAGACAGCTTATGACAGGTGACATCACAGGGGCTCAGAGACATGATAGGCTTGCCCAGGTCTACCCCACTGGCATCTTCAGGGTGTAGCCCCTCTGCATCTCTGGTGTGTCCCTGAGCTGGGAAGGGATGTGAACCTGGGTCCACAGCAGCCTGTGCCATTTTCTGCCTCTAGAGACCCAGACCCAGGCCAGTGTGGCCCTCCGTGGCAGGGATGGTGCGGTCAACGTGGACTTGGCAGCCCTGGTGGCCCGGCCACTGAATGGCAGCCTGGAACTGGTGACGAACACCAGCCACATGGCGCCCGCTTTCCCAAGGCTGGGCCTGCCCTTCACCAGCCAGGTGAGGAGTGGGTGGGCCAGCCCGACGGGCAGGGCTCCCTCCTAATTCTGTCAACTCCCTTCTGGTTCCTGCTGTGCTGAGGACCCACCATGTGCAAAATTGATGGGGATGCTCTTGCCTGGTGCCTCTGAAGCACTTTACAGTTTGTAAAAGCTTCATTAATAATAATAATGGTTGTAGCTGGCGTCTGCAGAGCAAGCTCTATCCCGGCCTTGGGGCTGGTGTGGACTAGCCTCCGGGAGCCCTGTGTTCCGGCTCCTGGTCCCGTGTCCCTTCTGCTCTTCCACCCTATCAGAGCCAGCCCAGCTTCCACTCGCAGAGTGCCTACTGTGTGCTTGGCGCTGTTCCAAGGGTTTTCTATGCATTGATTCATTTACTCCTCCTAACACCCCAGTGAGAGGCGGGACGGCACAGTTCGCAGGATCCCATCTCTGGGGTCAGATCCCAGCTCTGCCACCTGTTGGCTGGTGGCCTTGGGCAAACCCTTCACCCTCTCTGTGTCCTCAGCTTCCTTCCTTGAAACGGGGAGGATAATTGCACCAGTAGCGTGGGTTTGTGAGGCTTGAGTGAGTTAGCATCGGTGATGCGCCTGGGATGGTGCATGGAGAGATTGATGCTTTACACGCTTTTGCTGCCATGGTGATGGCATCGTGGTATCACCTTCATCGTCATGGTTCTGGGTCACACGTAGGAATGTACACGGCCTGCCCAAGGTCATATAGCGAGGGGACAGCAAACTAGGGACTCGGGCTTGGTACCCGGCTCCTTCCCCACGGTGTCCTCCAGTCTCCGAGAAGGGGATCACCTGTGGCCCCCACTGCACGGGGCCAGGCACTGGTCACTGTCACTGGACGTGAGGTGGCCTTGCCGGGCTCGGCCTCCCTTGCCTTCCTGACTCACAAGACACCCTCGGAGCCAGGTAGCAAACCTCCTTCACAGCCTCATTTCAGATTATTCAGGAATTTCTCCCCCTACTTCCCTCCCCACTCCTCCATAGGAGGAGGGACAGTACCAGAGGCCCGAGGGGCCAGCCGTCACCCCTCGTGCAGAAGGTCTGTGTCACTGTACCCACAGCTGAGCAGGCGTGGTTCTCTTCTCCCCTGACTTCCAAACCCCTTTCCTGGGGCTGGGTGGTGGGGACATCTGCACGGAGCTCGCTCTTTGCTGATGGCTGGGGCACAGGTCTGCACTGGGGGCCCACAGAGGTCATTGCCACCTGGGCCGCAGTGAGGGAGCAGACCTGGGTCCTGCCCATGGGTCCTCACTGTCCAACGCGGTGTCAGGGGAGTCTGGGCCTATTGGGCAACTGCCCTGCTGGGCTAGGGAGCAGGCGTGCTGGGGGTGCAGAGTGGGCCTGGCCTGTGAGGGTCCCGGGCTCCCAGGCTCCCCCCACCTCCCAGTCTGCTCCCCTCCCAGTCTGCTCCCCTCCCTGCTCTGTAGCTCATGTTCCCAGAGCTCTGGGCAGATGAAGAGCTGAGCACCTCTCTGCAGCTGACCTGTGAGTCTCCAGCCAGCCTGGTCCTCGACATCTGTGGCCAGAATCAGGTGTGGGGTCCTTTGCAGCTCTGGGGCCCCCTAAGAGGCAAGGAATAGGGGAGGGAGCCACCAGCTGTGTACCTGTGTGCTGACCCCTGACCCCCAGTACCTCCTTGAATCCTCCCCACAGCCCCACTGCACAGATGTGGAAAGAGGCTCAGAGAGGCAACGTGACTTGCCCGAGGTCACACAGCTAATAAAATAACCTTAATCTTTGTGATCAGCATGTAAATGAGAAGTTCTTAGTCCCTCAAACTAAAGGCATCACAGGCCTCAAGTGAATATAAATAACAATTATAGCTCCTCAGTCTGCAGACCTACTAGGTGCCTGGCACAGCACTCAGTGGTCTTACACATATACACAGCCAGGCAGGCACCAGCTAGGCTCTGGCACTTGTACCAGGTCATTGCAGGAAATGGGTAAGCCACCTGATAACAGAGTAGGCCAGTGGTTCTCACCTAGGGGCGAGTTTACCCACCTAGGGGGCGTTTGGCAATGGTTGGGGAAATTTCTGGTGGTTATAGCTGGGGAGAGGGTGCTGCTGGCTTCTGGTGGGAGGGGCCAGGGATGCTGCTGTACCTCCCACAGTGCACACATCAGCTCGTAGCAATCAGTTATGTGGCCCAGTTGTCAGTCGTGCTGAGGCTGATACACCCTGGTGTACAAGAGTTGCAGGGATGGGGCAGCACCCGGCGCTGGCAACAGTGGGCAGCTGTTTGCACCCTGGCGCGGAGGGGCAAGGTGGGAACTGTGTGAACAGGGCTGCAGGGTGAGGCCCACAGAAGACATGCCGCCCAGCACCCTATAGCCCTACACTGAAGGGGAAGCCTTGGCAACTGGGGGACTTGTCCAATGTGCCTGAACTGGGCAGGGGCTGAGCAGGGATTCAAATGGAGCCTGATGCCGGGCTCCAGCCCTAACCACTGCACTGCACGGCCCTCCGGCCTCTGGGTGTTAAAGGGCCCTTGGTTGGGCTGCTGATGTGCTCCTGGGTGTCTGACCTCTGTTGGGCAGGTTGGCCTGGTCTACCCGGCCCTGGGCCCCGAGCAGGGTGTCCTCCTGCCAGGCCTCTCGCATTCTCTTTTCCTTCCTTCCAGCAAAGAGCTGCAGCCCTCAGGCGGCAGAGCCCCCCGCCCTCCCAGGTCGCTGCCCAGAGGGCCTCAGCCTCAGCCAAGGTAACCATGCCCGGCTGTCCTGGGCTCCTAACTGGTTCCAGATGCCCTGCCCGAGGCGGGCCGGGGCAGCGCAGGCCGGGCCCCGCTGGGGACCGTTAACACGTCCACATCTGTCTGTGGGCCTCCAGCAAGCCCCACCGGGCCGCCCTCGGAAACCCCTGGCTCCAGCTTTCCCAAACATGCCCAGGTTTACATTCCTGGGCAGCCCCTGCGGCCCCCGGCCAGGCCCGCAGGACCCTCGGGAGCCGGGCGAGGCCCGCTGCCCGGTGCCTGGCGCCTGGCGCCGCCTCGCTCGGCCTGGCACGCTTCCGGCGCTGGATCAGATGACACGGGCCTGTGAGCTAAGCCAGCACCGCCTCCCAGGTGTCCCACGCCTTCCCGTGGCCCGGGGTCTCTGTGTATCATCCTGCCCTCGTCCATGAATCCCATTCCCACCTGGCCTCTGGAACCCCCAGGACATCCCTCAGTCACGCATCTCCCCTGCGTGTGGCATCGGGGTTCCTGGGGGTAGAAGGCAGGGCCCCAGAGGTGCAGGCTGGGGTTCCTCCTGTCTGTGTTGCCGTTGTCTCTTTCCCTGTCTGCCCTCTTCCCCAAATCAGGAGCCGCTGGAGGATGGGCCCAGACCCAGGCCCCGGGCCCAGCACTGTAGGTGCTCCGTGAAACATGCCTAGTGAAAGAATGAATGACTGCATGGGCGAGTGAGTGATGACACTTGCCGACTGGTCACTCATTACCCCCCCCAGCCTCGCAGGTTTGTCAAATGCCCTCCCTGACCCAGGTCTCCTCTGTTTGCAGAGTGCCTACTGTGTGCCAGGCCCCTACCAGCACGTTCACACATGACTTCTCTGCGTTCCAGGCTCAACCCACCTGCACACTCACTCAGGGAACCTCTTGGTTTCCCTGTCTTTATTTTGAATAATTTCCAACCTATAGAAAAGTTATTATAAGACAGTGAACATTCACCAATTGCTGATATCTTGCTATGTCTTTCTGTTAAACTTATATATGTTATATGCATTTGTATACTCACACACACACTTTTTTCTGTATCATTGAGCATTGATACAGAGATATTTCTGGACACATTTTACCTCTGTCCTCAATGCTTCAGAGAATGTTTCCTATAACAAGGATGTTTCTTATATAACACAATATAAGTATAAAAGTCAGGAAAGTTTACATGTGATGTAACACTATTGTACCCTCCATGATAACTCTGCACACTTATCCCAATTATGTTCTCTCAAGCTGTTTTGTTTGTCTTAAATCCAAGGCGCAACCCAGGATCGCCCTGGATACTGGCTGCCATGTCTCTAGTTTCTCGATCTAGAGCAGAGGTCTGCAAACTTGACTGTGAAGGGCCTGATAGTAAGTATTTTATTCTTTACACTGGATATGGTCTGTCGCAACTACTCAATGCCATGGTGCAAAAAACCAAAAAAATCCAGCCGCAGATAATATGTTAATAAGCGAGCATGGCTGTGTTCCAATAAAACTTTATTTAAATAATTTTCTTGTGAACACCTACATCCCCACTGCCTAGATCTTCTCAGTCATATTTTCTTCCACTTGCTTTATCACATAGCTCCCCATCCAGCTTAATTTTTTAAAATATATATTTATTGATTTTTTTAAGAGAGGAAGGGAGGAGAGAGAGAGAGAGAGAAACATGAGTCGGCTGCCACCTGCATGCCCCCCACTGGGGATGGAGCCTGCTACCCAGGCATGTGCCCTGACCGGGAATCGAACCAGTGACCTCTTGGTGCACAGGACAATGCCCAACCAACTGAGCCGCACCAGCAGGGCACCCAGCTTAATATTTGATGCATTTCAAAGTAAGTTACAGATATTGATATACGCCCCCCCTAAACATTTCATTGTCATTAACTACCTTAAAGAAAAATTGTGGCATTGACAACTTTGAAGTATCCAGGCAGTTTTGCAAAGCAGCCTCCATTTGGATTTGTCAGATTGTCTGCTTAAGACGAGATTTGGATGGAACATTTTAACATGGGCACCACTAAGTTAATGATGCTCTGGGAGCTCTTAAAAATGCCAGTTCTTGCCCTCTCCCACTCTCTCCCACTCTCTCTGAAAAGCCATGGAAAAAATGCCCTCAGGTGAGAATTAAAAAAAAAAAAAAAAGCCAATTCTCCTCTTTGTCCCCAGAGGTTCTGTTTTCACAGCTCTGGGTGGGGGCCCAGAATCTATTTTTAGCAAGTGCCCTAAGTAATTCTGCTCTTCAGCCTGGAACATTATTTCATAGTTTTCACATCAGCACATTAATAAAGTAGGTATCAAACCCAGCTTATCAGGTGAGAAAGTGGAGGCTCGGCTGGTTAAGGAATTAACTGGAGGTCATTCACCCCTAGGTGGCAGAGCCAGAACTGGAGCCCTGGCCTGTTGACGCAGTGACTATACGCCATGCTCTGTGCTGCTCTGCCTGCTCCTGTCCACATGCTTGTGCGACTAGAATTCTTGCCCGCTCGCCCCAGGCCAGTAGCTATCTTCAAGTCAGTGTTACAGCATGAAGGGCATGGGAGGTTAGTGTCATGGCCACGCCTGGGGACCGTCATTTCATCCGGGGAGCTATGGGTCTGTCAGGCCCGGAGATTTGGGAGGCAGTGCCTACAGCCCAGAGCGTCATCTTCCTGAATGTTCCATCAGGGACTGGATGAGGTCTTTCACTTGCTTTTCTTCTGACGCAACTACTGTGCTCTGAGGGTGAGGCTGAGAGCACATTCGTATTGGGCCTGGAGGAGCGTCATTTCCACATCAGCACCAGGCTGGTGGCTGCTAAGGTCAGTCCCACTAATGTCATCAAGCTGGAGCAGGCCTTCCCCCAGGGGCGAGCAGGATGGCCAGGGCCAGGGCCAGGGCAGGCCACGAAGTTCCTGGGAGCCCTTTGAGAAAAGATGAACGGTCCTGGTTCCAGGATGACCCAGTGCAGGCTGGGCTGTGAAATGGGCAAAATTGGCTGCAGCAAGAATTGGTCTCCATGTCCTTCCCCCACCCTTCCTTCTACATTATTCATTGAGCATCTACAAGATGCCAGGCCAGGTGTCATTCCAGAAACTGGGCTATTGCCTAGAACAGGACTGATGAGTCCTTCCTCTCATCAAGTGTACAGTCTAGTGGGGAAATTGACTCAAAAAGTCACATAAATAAGAAAATATATCAGATGGTGATACATACTATAGAGACAACAAAATGGGTGATATGAGTGGGAGTGACTGGGGAATTATTTAAATTAGGTGGCCATAAATGGCCCCACTAGGGAGGTGACATTTGAGCTAGCCCAGGATGACCAGCAATGTCAGCCATCTGAAAATCTGGTGGAAGGCATTCCAGGCAGAGAGAACAAAACGTGCAAAGGGCCTGGGGCAGGAATGAGTTTGGCACAATTGAGGAATGGCCACTCGCTGGAGCAGATCAGATGAGAGAAACGGTAGGTGGTCGTGGGGGTGTAATGGTACAGGGCATGTCAGGCCACAGGGAGGAGTCTGGATTTTATTGTCTCTGAAATTGGAAGTTTTAGGGGACATGATCCAAATGATGATTTCAGGTGACCCTGCCTGCTGTGTGGGGAGGGACCTGCAGGGGCAGCAGAGACACCAGTGAAGAATCTGCCACAGTGAGCAGGGTGAGAATTACCCCCAAGGCGGGGGTAGTAGCCATGGGTTTTAAAGACATTTAAGAAGAAACTCCCCTCCTTCACCCCCGACCTCCAGAAGTCCCCCTGTAGTGCCCTTGAGGCACCCTCCAACTGTGGCAACCACCAGCAGGGAGAGTGTCCCTCCCTGAGCCTTCGCACAGGCTGTTCCTTCTGCCTAGAATGCCCTTCCCTATTTTGTTCACCAACTTGAATATCTTTTGTGGCCACCCTTGTCACCTTGCCCCGCCATTTTATGTCTCTGACTCTCTCCCCACCAGCCTCAGAACCCCTGAAGGAGCAGGACCAGTCTTGGTTGTCTTTGCACCCCAACACTCAGCACTGGGTCAGGAACATAATATCTGCTCACTAACCGTTTGGGAAATCCTACTACCAACTGCAGCAGCTTCTACATGGTCTAGCCCTGGGCTGAGCATACCACTCCCATTATTTTTACACCATTTTACAAACAACAAAACTGAGGCTCAGAGAGGTTAGGAAACTACCCCAAAGCCACACAGCTTGGAAGTGGAGCTGAGAGTCTGCTGTCCTCTTTACAGTGCCATGCAGTCTCCTGTTTGTAACACCCTTTCCATCCCTGCATTCCCCTCCTTTACGTTATCTGTCCATCCCTAGAAACATCCGTTTGTCTGTGTCTATAACAGCTCAGTAAACTTAATGCTTCACAAATGACCTTATGGTTCCTATTCTGAAAGCTGCTCTCCTTTCCTACCCCAGCAGGAGTGTGGCCAGCGTCCCCAGCTCCCCAGCTCCGCCTTTGTCTTCCTGCTCAGCTACCTTCCTGGGGGACTGGTCCTGCTGACCTTGTACGAGCAAGGGAGTCTGTGGCACCACATCCTGCACCAGGCGATGCTGTGGGACAGCCAGGAGGTGGCCCTCAACAGGAGCCTTTCTGGGCCTTCCCCAAGCCTCAGCCTGCAGGGTCAGTGTCCCACAGGCTGCTGGCAGGGCGGTCCTTTCATTCACTCGCTTGGCGAATTATCATGAGCACCTAGGCACTGTCCAGGCACTCAGGATCCATCTGGAAATAAGATGGCCCAGGTCCCTGCCCTCACGGAGACAGCAGTGAGCAGGGACATGCACGTGAACAAGGTAATGTCGGTGTGCAGTTTCCAAGAGTGAGCAGGGCTATAAAAACAACTGGTATGATTTTGGGGTGCAGGGCCCCTTTAGGTGGAAAGGCCTCTCTGAGGTGACACTGAAGCAGAGCCCTAGAATGACGAGGAGCTGGCTGTAGTGAAGATCTGAGGAGAGGCATTGCAGGGAGAAGGCACAGCAGGTGCCAAGGCCCTGACGTGGGAATGAGCCCGGTGGGCTGGAGGGTGCTGAGGGAGGAGTGGAGGGGGGCCTGGGTCACATAGGGCCTCACCCCCAGTGAGGAGTTGGGTTTTACCCTGAGTGTGATAAAATAGGAAGAGGGTTCCAGGGCGTGGAAGGTCTGGCAACTCTGAGTGTCCCCAGGAGGCTTTGGAGCAGAAGCTGACTGACCGCAGGTTGGCGGGGGAGGTGAGTGCCATCCCATAGGGCTCCCCACAGTGGCCTCACGATGGGACCTGTGAACTCTGCTCTCCTCCAGGAATCGGGCCCCTTGGAAGGGGCTGTGCAGCTCACAGGCTGTCAGTTTCTGTCTGAGGCGCCCCTTACACAGAGCAGAGCCTGCGCAGCTGGCCTGCTGAGTGGAAGACACAGTGCAGACCCCGGCCCCAGGGCATGGCTTGCTGGGTGGCCTGGTAGAGTTCCCCCAGGTCGTGGTTGCCACACATGTGCCCCGCGAGGCAGAGGAAATGAGTAGACCCTCAGCACGCCAAGGCAGTGTGCACGTGTGTGTGCGTGCATGTGGGTGGGCTGAGGGGCCTGAGGACCCCGCTGTGAGGCTGCAGAGCATGGAGTTAACAGGTCAGAGGGTGGAGGAAGGGAGGGGTATGGCTCTGCACATGGGGTGCACGGGTGTGGTCAGTGTTCCTGGACTGATGACCAGATGCCTCAGGAAGCAGCTGGTGCCACAGCTGGGCACAGCTCCTGGGAAGGACAGTGGCAGCCCTTCCAGAGAGCTCAGAGGCTGCTGAGGTGGCTGTGGTCTGCAATTGGCGGGGTGTGTGTCTTAGGTGGACTCCTGCTTGGGAGTCTGGGAAGGCTGGACCAATTGAGGGCAACACAGGATGGGGGCAAGTGGGGATGGAGGTCAGGGCAGCTGGACTGGCCTGAGGGATGAAGGGAGAAAATCTAGGACCAGGACACTGGCCACTGAGGCCTCTGCTATGGGTACCACCTGTGTCATGCCCAGGGTGTAATGAGAGCATAGGATAGCTCACTGTGGTCCAGGTGGGGTG